TTGTAATTTACTTCACGTGGCAATATTATTCCTTAATTTTAGGGTTCGCTAAAATTAAAGATATTGAGATTCCAATCAACAATAGTCAGGACCTTTTTTTAATTCTAAAATGTCTTGAGTTGTACTTCTCTGAAGGCTCATCTAGTTCATCTGGTCAATAGCTGGGTTATGCAGACCAGACAAGTCCATATTTCAATCTCTGGTCTGTTGTGTTTCAAATGGTCTTAACTTTACTAACTGAACAAAACCCGAAAGAACTGCGGATGCTGTAAATCGGGAATAAAAACAGAAGTTGCTGGAAAAACTCAGCAGGTCTGACAACATCTGTGAAGAAGAAATCAGAGTTAACGTTTCAGGTCCAGTGACCCTTCCTCCGAACTGTAGTAACATTAGAGATGCTATAATTGACCTCGTCACTAATTTGGAGATTGGGAGATAAGCCAGAAGCTGATCCTCATGCATTGACCCAACATAGAAGCAAGTTTATCAGATAAGAACAGGGTTCCCTCAAAATTTATATGGACTGTTGACACTTTCTGTCAAAACACATGGGTGGTTTACCAGTAGATGTCTGGAGCATGTGAAATTATTTCCCACCAAGGCACAGACTGGAGAGAAGACAACTTATAAAATGTGACCCCATTCCACCCACTATAAAAAGTGAAAGTGGGATAACTATCAGTGTCACTTTTTTTGCTAATCGTAATTCTCACTCCTAACATCTCCCCGTTCTGATGGCTCAGAATACCAACACAAGCTTCTTATTTCCTTAAATCCAACTCCTGCAACATGAATGATCAGACTTGCAGCTGTTATATTCATTGGATTGATCAATGTCAGAATGGGCAGCTCAATAAATAGAAGCACTCATAAACTTAGGGATAATTTCTTATTTAGGTTAATTGTGCTACATATCTTGAATTCAGCCAAAGCAATCACACTTGAAGTTTCCAAATCAAGTTTAGAGATAACTGCAAGTTTTGACTTTGTGTCAATTGCAGTATAACCAAACCCTTTTTAACCAGGATATCAGGATGAATAATTGTGATTAGGGCTGTTTATTCTCATGGAAGGTGAATGCAGACATGGACTGACTGTGCTGAATGACGATTTCTTATAATATTACTTCTTTTCTGGTAACAGAGAACCACTAAATATTACTTCAGTACTTGGTTCAATCCCAAATTTTCAAGGTACCTTCAATGCCTTTCCACAGTAAAAGAATAATGTTACTCTATTTTTTGGCTTAAACTTTACCAACTTACCAGATTTATTGAATAGCAAATACAAGTGAATGGGAGCAGTAACTTTTTTATACAACCAATGGTAAAATTAGTTAGCGCCTATACAGTAAAATACAACGGTTTGCAACTGTAGTGTGAAACTATGATTAAAATGTTTCTCTTTTTGAAGATTTAGACAGAACAGGTCCATAAATAGCTTCAAACCAGTAACAAAACCCAATTAATTATATTACCATAATGTATACATTGCCCAAGGGCAGGACCATGGCTTGTGATAGTCTTTCGATGTGTTTCTAGGACGCATTATTTTAATTTACAAATAACTTCCTTCAATTTTCTAGCCATCTGACATTCATGTTCTCTTCCTTTCACTTTTTCCTTGAAACCTTCCCTCCATACCATCTTTTACAAGCCCATTTCTTCTTCAGATCAAAGAATTCCTACAGTGTGGAAGAAGGCCATTCAGCCCATCCAAACCTCCCAAGAGCATCTCATTCAGATCCACACCCGCTATCCAGTCCTTGTAACCCTGCATTACCCTATGGCCCATCCACCTACTCTGCACATCTTTGGACCATGGGAGGAAACCAGAGCACCCAGAGGAAACCCATGTAGACACAGGGAGAATGCACAAACTCCACACAGACAGTTGCCCAAGGATGGAATCAAACCCAGGTCCCTGGTGCCGTGAGGCAGCAGTGCTAACCATTGAGCCACCATCCGGACCTGGCTCCCTGCCTTTCCCTAGTCATGTTCAACAAATTTCTTTCTTCATTCACTAACACAGTACTTCATCATTGATTATTTTTCTCTGTCCAGCAGATCTTTTTTCATTCTCCTCCAAATCTGTATTTCAAAACTATTTGGAAAGTTGGTCCCCTCTTTCCACAATGTCCTCATCTCACATCCATACAAAACAATACTGGAAATCAAGCTGTCTGCAAATCACATTCAGCTTTCTGGTTAGCCACCTTCTCTTTTTAACAGCTGTGCCCTTTCCTATTGCAGTCCTTGTTCTTATTTCTTTATGGAACTTTCTAACTGCAGATGATATGCTTTCCAGATACTTGAATTCTTGCAGCTGTTTTGGTTCTCTTCTTTCTAATGAAATATGAATATTTTTTAGCGATTTTGAGACATGAATCATTTTGATTTTGTCAATGTTCATTTTCATTCCCAAGATCATGGCTGCTGTTAGCAATCTATCTACAAGCACTGTAATTTTTTTTTCCATCTTTGAGCCACATGCAAGTCTGACTAATGTTATCAGTCATTGTCCAATCTAAATACCAGATTGTGCGTCTTCAAGCACTTCTTTAATCATTGCTTTGTCATTAACATTGAAGAGCACTTGTAATAAACAACACCCTTGTTGTACTCTGCTTCCAATTACAAGTGGTTCCAACTCCAAGTTGTGAATCACCAATGGGGAGTAAGAAACAATTAATTATGTAATTAATATTAGCACAAGTTAGTAATCAGAAACACATTTGAATAAATCACACAAGATGTTTGTAATTGAATTGAATGACTGCTTCTATACTTGCCAAATGTGAGACAACCTAAGTTGCAAAATATGAATTCAGCTAATTGCCCTTCCTTGCATACTGTTGCAGAAGCCAACAGCATGATAAATCATAAGAGAGGACTATCTCTTTTATGTCACTGTTCATTCAAAATAGAGTGATTACTCTTCTCATGAAGTAATTCCAGACATCAGTCTGCAATCTGCCTTTTCCTAGTTCCAAGACATAGTCTCTTATTCAGCTGCCACAATTTAGTTTGTCGTAACATTTTGAGAGTTACCTCAAGTGGAGTCAGCTTGAGAATTTTAAAGAAATAATTGCATCATGGATGAAAAATATAGAACAGGGCAAAACCAAAGTGACTAAATGATGCTGATCAGAACTAATTAAATTGAAGCAGAAATATTTTAACAGATGCAAGGAAGATAACTGCCAAATGAATTCTGATTCAGTTGAGAGCACCAAAATTTGCTGCCATTTTTTATTCCTAGATGGGATGTGGGTGCCGTTGACCAGTCCAACATTTTTCTCCTCCTAACAGCTGTTGAACTGAGTGACTTGCTGGTCATTTCAGAAAGCAGTAAAGAGTCAACCACGTTGCAGTCAATCTGGAGACATCTGTAGACAAAACCATGTCGGGATGGTAGATTTCCTTCCCTAAAGGATATCAGTGAACCGGTTTTTTTGTTAATATGGCAATCAGTGATGGTTTCATGGTCACCATTACTGATACTTGCTTTAAATTCAAGATTTTATTAACTGAATTTAAATTCCATCAGCTGCCATGCTGGGATTTGAACCACAATCTCCACAGTATTAGCCTGGATTTCTAATCAATTGGGCATTCATAATAGATCACTATTTTGCCAAAAGATTATTATTAATGGAAATGAAGTTCATGGACAACTGAAAGCAAGGCAAAGGGTTACTGCAGGTCATTTTTGGGTTGAGTTTCAAGATATGGCTGAATGGTTACTTTGCATTGATTTCCACCACCATAGATGATGAACCAGTGCTGTTACATAGAGATGGTGCTAAAATGTAATATATGGAATTAAATGTAGGAATAATTATATAATGGACCAAGCTGCTAGCCTCAACAGTATGTGTGCTTATAAAGTTGAGGTTTGTATTGTATCTGCCATTGTCTTATATGTTTAGAATCTCCAATAGTTTCATCAAACTGGAGCAATGTCTGTTTTTAAAAAGGGCAGTAGGTCAGAAGCAAGACATCGTAAGTTAAACTCGTTATAAGCAAGTTGCTGTAAGAGAATAGATGCATTGTACCATCATCTAGTATGCTTTAAGTTTGTAAAATTCCAATTGATGACCCTGGTATCACATATTCAAGTGTCCTAGCTCTGGTGCACAGGTCATAAAAAAAAATTGGGATAAAAATTCAAAAGACATATTGATGATTTCCCTGGAAATAATAATAAGGAAAGTTTCAAACATCCACTCCTAATGTTACTACCCACAGTGAGCTGTGCAATTCTTACCTCATTCTGTTTTTCTTAGATATTTTAAAAAGTGTTCAATGTGTGGAGGACTGTCCAACTTTGGCAACAGGATCCTATTTGCATAGCACAATAAATAGTATCAAAACATATAAAATAAAGGTCTTTGCCTCTGCTGCTGCCTTTATATACTATGCAGAAAAATTGGCTTCCACAAACTAAGGAAGTGACATACGACCAGTGCATGACTAAATAATAGAACAGTTCCCTCCATTAAGAAAATCTTCATGGAAAACAACACAGCTTCCACAGTGACAATAGGAAATATAAGTTGGGGTTGTTGTTGCTTGTTACTGCCGTATTAATAATATTAATGTTACCTGCAGATCAAGCACAGGAAGCATGACATAACAACCTCCTACCCTAGCGAACAAGCGCGTATGGGCTGGTTGACAAAGTGAATTTTCACTGGTAGGTGGAGGAGGGATGGTGTGTGGGATTGGCATAATGGTAGGGAATGGGGAGGGATTTGGAGCGTAGGGTGTGTGAGTTGCTTGAAAACAGAAATGAACAAGGTGACCCACATAATGCCTGTGGTTTGCACAACCACCTCAAAAGCACAAAGGTGTGAAGAAGGATAAAGGGGATGTTTAAATTGCAAACTAGAGGGGTATAATAAATTAAAAGGGAAGCTTTAAAAAGATATTCACTACAGACGTTCATCTTTAAAGTCAAAAATACAACTGAGATATCACATAGAAGAAATATGAATATTCATATCACAATACTTATTTATTACACTGTAATATAATTAGCTCAACATTACATTTGTACCTCACTACACCGCCTTTAAAAATGGGCAGCAACACTGTTAAAAAGTTAAGTAGCACATTCTTAACAGGACAAAACAGAGATTATAATTACAATAATTACAATTATAATAATTGAGCGGACAATATAAAAATGGCTGGAATGTCCTTTTTCATTATTAAAGTTTGCTTCATTCCTTTTCAAACCCAATTTCACATTGTCATTTAAATGAATTTTTGCTAAATCATAGCTGGCTCTGCACATCCACCACAGTCATTGTCCTGTATGTGTTTCTTGTTGTCTGCTTTCTCCTCTCCCTTCGTTCAAAAGTGATTTGTATGTGTCTTCTGCCTGACAATTGCCATTATTAGTTATAGGTCTGGTACACAAAGGTAGTAAAAGCCATAGCAACAAGCTGCAAAGCAAAAATAAACAACTTTGGCTCAACATGGTAACATGAATTTTAGTCCAAGATCTTTGAAATGTAAGATGAAACAGCATACAAGGAAGGTCAATCAGTCCCTTTTTGCACATGCTGACCCTTTTAATAGTTTCACTTGTCTGCCCTTTCCCCACAGCCCCGATATTTTTTCCCTTGCAAGCATTTATCCTACTACCTTCTGAAAATTATTACTTTCTACAAACACCAACTTTTCAGGCAAAGGATTCCAGATCACAAGTCCCTATATGTAAAACAAAACACCTTGCTTCAGACGACATGTCCATCCTGGGCCTCCTACAGTGCCACAACGATGCCACCCGAAGGTTGCAGGAACAGCAACTCATATTCCGCTTGGGAACCCTGCAGCCCAATGGTATCAATGTGGATTTCACAAGTTTCAAAATCTCCCCTCCCCCCACCGCATCCCAAAACCAGTCCAGCTCGTCCCTGCCTCCCTAACCTGTTCTTCCTCCCACCTATCCCCTCCTCCCACCTCAAGCCGCACCTCCATCTCCTACCGACCAACCTCATCCCGCCCCCTTGACCTGTCCGTCCTCCCTGGACTGACCTATCCCCTTCCTAACTCCCTACCTACACTCACCTTTCCTGGCTCCATCCCCGCCTCTTCGACCTGTTTGTTTCCTCTCCACCTATCCTCTCCTCTATCCCTCTTCTATCTGCCTCCCACTCTCTCCCTATTTATTTCAAAACCCCCTTCCCCTCCCCCTTTTCTGATGAAGGGTCTAGGCCCGAAACGTCAGCCTCTCTGCTCCTATGATGCTGCTTGGCCTGCTGTGTTCATCCAGCCCTGCACCTTGTCACCTTGCTTCTCTTCTGGTTCTGCAGCCAATTACCTTGAATTTTAAGCCTCTTGTTTCTGCCCCCTTATTAAACATTTCCCACACAGATCATCCTAGAGTGAAAGAGTATGTAGTTTGTGATGCAGAACAGAATTAATGGGACAAAGATTTAATTGCAGAAAAGGAACTCAATTTCAATCAGATGTAATTACATTTTTCAAAAAACAGAATTGATATTATTAAGTTTCAGAGAGTATTATATTTTAAATTATTTCTAAGCTTTACCTTGTAGTTTACCTTCTACAGAGCATAATTTCATTCTGGCCTTTTGAAAATCTTCATGAGTTTGTTTGTACTCATTGCATGATATTATATCAGCTGCCCAGAACACATCTCCCGATTATAGTTTCATCAACAGGCTGAGATGCATAATGCAGATGTCATTGCCACTATTTCACGCTACCAGCCAAAGTTAAGGCCTGTATCCGTGTGTTTCTCTTTCCCCTCCACTCTCCACTTAAACATCAGGCAGGCAAGTTTTACCCTGGTTCCCTTCGGTTAGTAGAAATCAATGTCACAGTTTATACATAGTACCACATGGATAAAATTTATCCAACTCAGGCACAAAAGTTTGAGTTAAAGGTACATTTCTATTTAATATTTTGACCCACTAATTTGTGGGTTATATAATCAATCTTTCTCCCATCTTTGCTTGAGGACACAAATTCTTGTTCCAGTTTGACCAGAATCAACCACTCTCTTGTGTCTCTAAGGGGCCACTGCAAACTCAACTTAGCCCAATATAAAGGCACCTAAGGTCATACTTGTTCAGGCAAAATTAGAAGGAAATTACTAAGAGCAGAAATTAATCTCCTATATCCCCCCTTCCCCTTGTACAATTTCTTTTGAGAGAAAAGTACTTTGTTCAATATGATAGTTTGTAACACAATAACCCAGAGATTGTCTTTTGGATCATGTCTGCTTTAGCTACCTAGTCTTAAAATAGTAAGTGGTTTGAAGCTTCTATTAGGTAATACTCCATTTATTCTGCCTGCCTCAAACCATCACTCTTCTGCCCAAGCATTGAGAGACTTTCATAGCTTGCGGTAACACGGTACATATTTAGTGAATAATAAGAAAGTTCCTTTTATGCCATCAAGTGATGGCAGGAGACTTCCTCAATTGTAAACCTAGCTCTGAGAAGTATGCTTGCAATTTTACCATGAGCAATTTCACCACAAATAAAGCTTCTCTCCCTATTTTTATGAAGGTTTTCAAACATTTAAATCTGGACAAATGTAACCTTACCTCAATTAAAAGCACTATTATACTAAATGCTCCAACCAGATGGACATAATTCCGAAAATTCTCTGCAATCATTGAGAAACATCCCTGAAAGAAGAAACATTAACGATTGTCTCAAGCAGTTACAATGCTGCAATGACCTAAAATTTAGTGAATGCCTTCAAGAGCACATGCATTTCTTGTATATGTTGAATTGTGATGATTTGGAACACACAGATTGAAAGAGCAGTTAAGAGTGGTTAAAACAAACTCAATAGTAACTTTCGAAATAGACTAGGGTATTTACTAGAACAGGAAAACTTTCAGGGTAATGGGAGAAGAGCAGAAGAATGGGATTAATTGAATATCTCTTCCAAAGAGCTAGCACATGCAGAATGGGCCATATGGCCTCCTTCTGGGCCTCCTTTCTATGAACTCAACTTGGAATCACACAGGAACAGATACAGAAACAGTAAGAGGCCATTCACGCCTCCCATGTCTGGTCCATCATTCAATAACATCATGCTTGCATAAACAGCAATGGTTCAAGAAGATTTTCATCATCACCTTCTCAAAGGGCAATTGTGATGGGAAGGTCTTTCCAGTGATGCCATGTCCATGCAGGAATTAAAAAAACTGTATCTCAATTCCATATTCCATTCTGTAACATCCAAAGATCAGTGCTCCCTTAACTATACTGCATCAAAATTACAATCACGTTTGAGTGATTTAAGAAATAACACACATATAAATCCTAAAATCACACTGAGTTGCAACTAACAGTTAATTATCCTTCCACGATAAATACTCCATGTACATTTTCCATTCACCTTACTGTTTATGTAGCCAGCACCTCCGTGAAAACATCTGTTCTTGTCCAGGAAGACAAGGGCTGTTTTGTTCTTCTTACAACATGCTTCAGGTAACAGCATATTGGGGAAGAGTTCATGAAAAGTGGAATTCTGTCCAAAATCTTGAGGCCCATTTACACCACAGCATGAAAACTGAAATGACAAGACATTAGTATTATGGCTTTGTTGCAAATTCCACTTTGCTCTGAAATGAATATCAAAGGGTAGGGGAAGTGAGCAGGAGAGCAGAGCTAGAGTGGATGGGTGATGCAAAGAATAGCATTAGTACAGAATTTGATGGACTAAATGATCTGTTTATATGCTTGGCATGCATTACAGCAGTGGAGGATCCAATTCTATCATCACCTGAGACTCAACATTCAGTAGCAGGGTAGATGGTATGATGATGCTGTCACTTTAAAAGATTATTTTGTCCTTTTGTTTGAAGAGAGGTTATAAGGCGGGAGTACTGAACTGACTACTTGAAGGTGACTTAAGTACGCAACTTGGGAGGTCTTTAGGATTTTTCAAAAGTTGGAATCATGGAAGCAGCCTAAATGGGTGTGGCCAGCTCTTACAGATCTAGGTTTCTGGGTTTTGATATTTTCATTAACTCCGAAACCTTTAGGGTTTCAAAAGAGTTGGAGGCTTCAGTGAATGATTCCTAGCTGCAATTCTCACTGAATTTTCTCTTGATATTTTTCCTCCTGGATTGGAGAAATGCATGTAAGAATCTGTGTGTGAATTTGCCTTTTTGCCAGGGGCTGTGTCTATGGGATGTTAGTATATTGGAACAGTTAATTACTAATAGGTGCTGTATCTCTTATTCGGTTAAGTTTTCCAATAGATAGGTTATTCAAAATTCCTCTTTCTTTGTATTTTCATAGAATCTCTACAGTGTGGAAACAGGCCATTCAGCCCAACACCAACAGTCTGAAGAGCATCCCACCCAGACCCATTCCGCTACCCTATAACCCTGCATTTCCCATGGCTAACACACGCAGCCTGCACATCCCTAAACACTATGGGCAATTTAGCCCGGCCAACCCACCTAACTTGCACACCTTTGGACTGTGGGAGGAAACTGGAGCCCCCAGCAGAAACCCACACAGACACTGGGAGAATGTACAAACTCCACACTGATTGTTGCCCGAGGGTGGGTTCAAACCCTGGTCCCTGGCACTGTGCAACTGCAATGCGAACCACTGAGCCACCGTGCTGCCCATTTTGACAATAGTGTTTAAATAAATTGTGTTTTGCTTAAGTCAGTTAGCTTGATCAGTCACATCTGGAATACAGCAATTTACATCTACCTTTAAAATAAAAAAAAGTTAGAGTCTAGGCTACCTTCCTAAAATATTTTGAGGGGGTCTGGTCTGGTCCATAATAATGGTGACTAGACAATGTGACAATGAACTCAGTGGAACAGATTCGGTAACATAAACAAACTACAAAACAGCTCACTCATATAATGTTACCAAGGCTATATGTACTATAACAATCAACATGGGTGAGCCAATAGGTCAAGCTGACCTGACGTAATTCTAGATAACTGGTTGGCTTTGCCTAAGGAAGCAGCCAATTTGTTATAACCAGAGCTGCTATTCATTTTCCACAGAACACAAAATGGTTCTGGATACAGTCAAGGCACAACTAAAGGAAGTGTGATGCATCACACGGCCAAGCTGCCTATCGATATTCATATTGCGAAGCATCAAACAGTAAACCAGCATGTCAGCAGTCACTTGAGTGAGGCATGAGTTGGCAGCTGATGGCTGTGGAAATATAGGCAGCCTGTATCCAGTTGAAATGGGTGGAAGGAGAGAATTTCTTTGAAAACTTACATCCATCATAATGGCGTTCCAGGTTTTTGAAAATGCATCTGTAGAATTGTCTCCTTTGTACTTCATCTGCAATTCCTTTAAGAAATAATCCTTTCGTATCTGAATATAAATTAGAGGTTTCATACTTAGCTCATTGTAATTACTCTCAAATTGTTGAAAAGTAACACTTTTATTTGTGATCACTGTACTTACCTGTTTTCTGAAGACTAGTGCAAGGACAGCTGCAACTAACTCCAGGATGAAAATGATCAGAATCAATAGCAAAAACTGCAAATAACATAACACCAACAGTTATTCCTCATCTCTTCAACTGGCTGTTTGATTTTCAATGAGGAGAATTCAGCTGTTTGCCATATAGAGCAAGTTCATGATAGCACATAAAAATGTATATGATTTCAGTGATACTATAAATATCTGATCTGACAGTTTAAACATTGAATCTAAAGGATGCTTTTTATTTTTTTTAAATGAAGCCTTACACAGGCAATTGGTCTTCGATTTTCACAAATCTGTCAGCCTGGACGATTCTGAAAGTTTTGAGTCACCTGAAGAAATTCATCTGTAAACAGACCAGCATTACCTTGTCACAGTCAGTGAGGGAGAACTTAAAAACAAATTTATGAACCTGATCGAATTACAGCTACAGTGCACAAAATTTATTTTTTTTTTAGTCAAAGGCACACACTTTTACCTGAATTCAGAGGATTTTAGAACATTCGAGAAAGTGATTCTGTTTCTTCAAAAATATCCTGACAGAGTACTGCTTGGAGCAGTGTATGAGATGTAATAATGTAGTGAATTGGAAAATCACCAGCTGGGGTCGCTCACAACCCACTCTCAATGACAAGCTCTTGTTTTGTGAAGAGTAGTTCTCAAAAATGTAACCAGATTCTCTGCATGTTTAACCGCTTAGTTAGATTCATTGGAACATACTGAAACTTGGATGAAGGGTCTGGAGACACTGTACAGAATACCATCAAAGAAGAGTAAAAAGTCAAGAAAGTGAAAAAGGAACAGTTAAATTTGTTTTAAACCTTATTGACTGTTTAAAGCAGAAATGCTGAAGGGAAAGCAGGAGAGGGGGCTCCACTTATTTGATGCAGCATGAAGCAACAAATTACGAATAGAAAAAAAACTTGTAATCAGTCTACATTTCTAGACAGTGATGAAGTTTAAGGCTGGCAGATTCACAATTATTTTTAAGTAAACTTGAAAGAAAAGTTAAGAGGAAAAATTATCCATGCTGATATATGTCAGGAAATCTCCTTATATGGAGTATTGGTACTAGATGCTTTAAAATAAACGTTTGTGCTGGGGCAGCTTACAAAAGAATATCAGGTTCAATAAAATTTTGTAAACATAATGTGGCACAATTCTTTAAACCACGGGTTGTAAAAGGTCTATTATTATTTACATATAAACAAAAAATGGTATTTACACTGTGTCTCTCACAGGAAATAACAACACACTTTACAGTCAATTACAATGAAGTATTTTGAAGACGAAAATCAGAATTGTAGCTTATTCTTTCATAGGATGTGGGTATCACTGGGGAAGCCATTACTCTTGACAACTGAATGGGCTTTCAGAGGGCAGTTAAGAGTCAAGCACATTACAGTGTGCCTGGAGTCACATGTAGACAGACCAGAGTCAGTCTATATTTTATATTGTTATTTTACAGACGATTCTAGTTCACAATGTTTGAAAGGACCACCTGCAATACATATCCAAGGACACCCTTCAAGAACCAGATGGGGATTTTATAATAGTTTCATGGTCACTATTGCAGATATCAGCTTTCGGTTCCTTTCTCTAAATTAATTAATTGAATTTAAATTCCATCAGTTTCCATGGTGGGACTTGAACTCATGTTCTCAGGGCATCAATTGATCACATTACTGCTACAACACATTCTCCCACAGCATTTATATTGATTGGCACAGTAGCCATTTTATATACGACAATGTGATGGTGGACAAATAGTCTGGTTTAATGATATTAGCTGAGCAATTAAATATTGGGCAGTGGAGACAAAATCCCTGTTCTTCTCCAAATAGCATCTCATCCATCCAACCATTCAAAAAGTAGTTCTTCCACAAGCTTTTGATTTTGTGAGGTGACAAAGCATTTGAGATGGGGTTTAAAACCAGCCACAAGTGAGTTAATCTCAACAATATAGTGATGAATAATAGTCTCAATGTGCCTGCACGATGGAGTGAGAAATGTCCACCAATGCTTCTTGGTTCACATTACTGCCCCATGAGTGCAGAAAAGAGCGAAGGTGTGGACTGCAGACAAAAGGGTCATTGATTTTGGTTCTGCTGCTCCAGAGGCCAAATGCTAGCCACCACACAACGGGTACCATTGCGATGAATAAAACAAAGAACTGCGGATGCTGGACATCTGAATCAAAAATAGAAACTGCTGGAGAAACTCAGCAGGTCTGGCAGCATGTGTGGAAAGAGAGCAGAGTTAATGTTTTGAATCCAGTGACCTTTCTTCAGAGCACAATGCTGAACTCAGAATATGAACTCTGCTTTCATTCCACAGATACCGCCAGACCAATATGATGAATATTGGACAAGGGGTCCTAATCTTTGCAAGCCCAGCATCTTCAAAATGGATGAGGAAAAATATTACATGCTACATTAGTCCAAGGATGTGCAGGTTAGGTGGATTGGCCATACTAAATTGCCCATAGTGTCCAGGAATGTGGATTAGGTAGATTGGCCATGGGAAATGCAGGATTATAGGATAGGGTAGGGGGTGAATTTGAGTGGGATGCTCTTCGGAGGGTGGGTGTGAACTTGATGGGCTGAAAGGCCTGCTTCCACGCAGTAGGGATTCTATGATATCTGATGATATTATCCTAACGGGAATATAATATGCATTTGTGCAATTAATCTCTTAAATTTGGGAATGCGGTTGGGGGAGGGAGAAATATAGGTTGAATTTTAACCATTCTTACACCTCTGAACTTAAATCAAAAATAATCTAAAAGAATGAAGATTTCATGTTACGTACAGTCATAAGCAGTTGTTTGCTCTCTCGGATGGCTCCCCAGCAACCTAAGCACCCTAGGAAGAAGAGAATTACCCCAACTGACAGGATGATGTAAGCCCCAGTATAGATCAACGGATTTGAAGTCACAATGTTCTTGAAGCCATTGGCATTTGTTGTAACCCAGATGCCAACTCCCAGCAGACATATCCCCCCTGCCTGTAAAAGATGACAATGAGGTTACTGCAGACGGTTGAAGCCTCCAGCGTTAATATTCATCAAGAATCTCACAACAATCTCCTCCGCTCCTGCATACTATTTCATAACCATTTTTAAGATAAAGTACTCTTTATCTCATAATACAATTAAACCACATTCTGGACTTTAATAAAATTACATGGTATATATTTGATTAAAGTTATTGAATAACAATGCCTGTTGCCATGGACACAGCTTTTAATATAATTTCTTGTAATTACCAATCTCATGAATATTCTCAGAGTTTTCTACCCAAGTGTCTGTTTCATGTAAGTAGTCATTGTCAATTGTTCACAAATATGAGCAAGCAGTTACTTACAAAAATTAAAGTATTGGACAGGAACATGAGATACTTTATACAGGTCCGAGACTTTTCTGTTTGAAATCCAGTCATTTCAATTGTTTTAAGCAGCTTTCAATCTGAAATGACAATTGTAAGAGAACCACAGTTTAAACTGTGCAATCATTTAATTGCAAAGTTAGTTTGGGTTAATGCCTTTGCATCAATCTTTATGTAGTTGAATTAACACGATAGCAAAAATAGTAATTAACACAAAAGAAAAGTAAATCAATTGTCCATCTTTAACTTAGTCTTCATTATTTCATGGGTTGTAGGTGTCACTGGCTGGCCAGCATTTGTCGCCAACCCATATTTCTTTTTTCTTTATTCATTCACAGGATGAGGGCATTGCTGGCCAGGCAGCATTTATTACCCGGAGGGCAGTTAAGAGTCAACTACATTGCTGTAGGTCTGGAGTCATATGTAGGCCTGATCAGTTAAGGATGGCAGTTTCCTTCCCAAAAGGACATTCATGAACCAGATGGGTTTTTTCAAGAATCGGCTAATCCAGTGGGATTATTCGAGGTAGTGAAGGAAATCCCAGGAGATCCTAGTCACAGACTGGATAGTAAGATAGCGCCCGACCTTTTCAAAGATGTCACCTGTTTGGGTAAGATTTACTCGGGTCGAACAGAGGCAGTAGGTAAAGAAATTAAAATATTGAGATATACGAGAGGTACTCTGTCTGAAATATTGCTGAAGAGAGTGGTAATCTGTGGAATAACTGGAGAGAGGAGTAGTGTTCCCTGTGTAAGATAAGGCTAGAAAGTCCAATCAAGACTGAGGAAGTGATAGTGGGACTGATTGAAACAGTGGCTATTCCAGGAATATAGTTTGTTCTTAGAAGTGGTATAGCTGGATCACAGATGGAGTGATGTTCATTGTCGTGGAAAAGCCAAAAGAAAACCAGGGAATTGAGGAGTTAAAAGAAAAATACTGTGGAATTTTTCTGGACTGTGTGGTGACGAGATCCTACAGCCATAAGTTAAAACAAAAAGAGAAAGATGAAGGAACAAAAACAAAGTTGCTGGAAAAGCTCAGCAGGTCTGGCAGCATCTGTGATATGTG